TGCCGGCCTCGGTCCGGCCTGGCCCGGCCCCGCCGGCGGCTGCTGCCTGCTGCCAGCACCGCGCTCCTTCCTCCGGCTCTCTCTTCCCAAACACCCCTCGTTGGGAAACAGCGTTGCGTCGTGCGGATAGACAGGGCACGATGTCTTCTCTTTGTTTATTTAAGAAAATCGGGGTGTGCGGAAAATGAGTTTTAAGTTAAACAAAGAGTTGGAAATTGTCTTGGCGGAGGGCAGGTACCGTTATTGGGGTGGCCACCGTGTTCCAGTTTTTTTGTTAACTGCAGTTTTCCTGCAAAGGAAAACTCCCGGAGGCCTTTCGCTTACGTTAAGCAGCTTTGCTTTTGTAGTCATATGTTTTCAAGCACTTTCCCGGCGTTTGATGGCAGATGTCAGTCAGCCCAAGCTGCCGCAGGTTGGAAGAGAAGATTTCAGTGGGACAGTCCAGTGTCTGAGCTCAGGGCTGCCTGCCCTGATCTTTGCGGTATGTATGAGGAGAAGACTGTGTGGCCTTTGAGGCCATGCTAGCAAAGGGAAGGTGGGCCTTCCTCGAAACCACTGTTATTGCCTCCAGTGTTTCTGTAACACCAGTTAACTACAGCGCTAAGATAGGCCTAGGGCAGCCTGCCTGCTTAACTCGAGGAATTGACAATTGAAGATCAATATAAATATAGCCATAAACATGTGTTCAGCACTATGTATTGTAGTTCAGTGTGGTCCTGAAGAAGCTCTGCTTGCATTTTATTATTATTTTATTTTATTAACCTGACCTAATTTGGATGTATAGATCCAGCCTGAATCTGCTAGTTTTATTTATTACTCTGAGACACTCAGTGTGAAGAAATGAGAATTAATTTATCCCTTTATTGCTTCCTGATAGTCCAAAAAAATTTCTATATTAAAAATATATGATTAAAAAAAAATTTCCTTGAAATTGAGATGTAATTGAAATTAATTTTAATTCCTGTTTATTTTTATGCCTGTAAGAGGCTGTTAGATATTTAAGCAGATAACACTTCCATATACTTAAAAATCTAATTGAGGAACCCAAGAACACAGGCAAGAAAAATAATGTCCTGTAAGAAGAAATGTCATTTTTGTGTGAAAAGCATGTGTTCACAGCAGGGCTCAGATAGTTTTATCACTTGTTAATGTTTTAGACCATCTCTTTGCTGTACTTTTGAGGATTTCTCAAAAGTCCAACACGTGCTTTGATAATACGCATGCTGGGATAGCCCACAGTAGATAGGAGAAGCATAGGCCTGTAAGATTCGTCAGCATTTCACTTCAGCTCTTTTGAAAGAGCAAAAAGTAGGAAAAACAGAGGCCTTGAGTTGGCGAGATGGCTCTTGCCAAACTGAAGTTGTTGCGTTAACTAGTCATGTTTTTGCCACTGGCCTTTGAGTCGTCAATATTTTATATTGACAATAAGATGTCTGCACAGAGATCTTGTAAAATAGGCTTCTCTGTCCACTCAAAGTGTTATTAAGCACTTACTTTACTAATTAATGAGTTTTCCAATGACAATAAAGTATGATTCCCACATTACAGAAGGAAAGATTGTACAGTGATTTGACTTTGTTTATAATGGCAAGATAAACCAGTGTGAGAATTAAAACTAGGTAAGGTCCTTTGTTCCCCAGTTCTACTCATCACAGTGCTCTCTGAAAAGCAAACTGTTGGTTCCAGGTCAGTGTTGCCCGACAGTGCCCTTGTTCCATCAGAGTGTGTCCAACATCCTTTTGCTTTCATCTTTAAGGGGAAAAAAAGACAATGGCTGGGCACAGTAAAAATCCCAGGCTAAGAAAAGAGAGGTGTTAAAATCTGTAAGTCTTTTCCATATCTTTCCCAAATAAGCCTGCATAATCAAATCTAAGTTGAGTATAGACAGGTCTTAGTTTTGCCAGCATGAACAGGATCTGAGCGTTTTCTTTTGTTTTCCCCCATCCTGGTTCAGCTTTCCACATAGTTGAAAAAATAAAGTGAAATACTCCTTTCTGATTCTGTTAACAGATACTAGCTGAATCCAAATCTGACTGGCTGTCATAATTTTTGAGGGCATCATTTAAACTCCACTAGTG